GTCGCCAAGGCAGCAAATGTAGTATGCAGATTGAATTGATGGAATACCCTACCAGGTGACCATTTCCTGAATGCTATGGATGGGATGTGATTGTTTTCAAGAGAGATCCCGGAGCCAAAAAGTAGTAGTTGAGAGGCCGACGATTCATTGCATATTGCTGCAATACTGCGCCCTATACAACCACAATGGTGATGAGATATTTGCAAAATTCCGGATCGCTGGTATTTGCGGTGGTGAACGAACACGCTATGACCCTTTCGGGGGCTAACACGTTCGCCACTACACCTTGCGGGCCCTTCGTTTCGCCTGTATCCCAGAAAAATCACTTTGGTTGGCAGCAAATAAAAGGTTAATACTAAGCCCTATTTTGTAAAAGAAAAGTTACTCGACAAATAGAAACAAGCTGTGGTAGGAACTGAAAGTTTTTGGTATTGATTAGCCGTTGACAGATCAGCCATGCATTCGACTTCATCAAACATCGTAGAGATGAATTAGTGCATAACAGGCCCATAAGGTGACTTGTAGTGGCTTGCCAATGACAACAAGTTAGTGCTTCTCTCCTCACATACAAAGCTGGTACCAATTGGGCGATACTGGAAAGATGGAAGTTTTGGTAAGCCTGGCGCGAGATCGAACCAGAGACCGATCCAGTATTCACTTGCAGGTCTTCTCTAATCATTGCACTACATGTGCAACAAGTAGTAGTGTAAAGTGGTTATTCGCTGATAAAGTTACGCAACTGAATAATTCTGTATGATTAAGCACCACCACTTCTTGTTTTGGTGTGTTCAGTGGTGCATAGTGTAAGACCGTCAATGCAACCAATCTACACTGCGCTTGTGGTCGCTGCCAAGGCCGTCGAGTCGACCGCAATCGAATTCATGTAGTTTTTTGTTGATTCTGCTTTAATTCATTCACTAAACGTAACTTTTTCTAAATTCTATACTTCTCGTTAGAACTCTCATTTGCAGCTCTGAAAAACTTGGCTAATAACATGTGACTTCATTGCTTATTTCTGGAAATTTATTCTTATCACAAGCGCTCTAGTGAATTGCTTAAGCTGTTAGTGGGTGCTAGAATCCATTTTGGACTAAAAACAGGTAAAAAACTAAGGGCAATGAAGAAAGCTTTCAGGTGAAGCTAATTACAGTTTCATGTCTAGCTGTGGTCACTATGCTGCGAAGTATTGGCCGACCGATATTGCTAGTACTGGATCGAAATCAATGATAACAGCTGCTCTTTCATCTTTTTTAAAGCGATTAAAATGCATCGTTCGGTTAGGTTTTAGATTATTTCTGCATGAAGGCGAACATTCTGGTAAAAACCGAAGTGCAGGAGGGCAAGGTCAGAGCGCGAACACACTGCTAGAGAACGCCCTTTTTGAATCTGTTATATTTTGCCAGCTTGGATTTACTTTAACAGAAAGAAAGTTACGAATTAAATTTTCGCATTACAAAAAAAGTGAAGCGCCTGGCATTTAAAAGTGGTGAAGACTAAAACACGATTTTCATCTGCTTTCTTGTTTGCTTGCCAGTGAAAGATTCTTTTCCTCTCGAGATTGGAAAGCATTGTTATAGGAGTCCTGAAAGCATTGCTTAGATTTTACAACGTGGTCACCTCGTTTTTGCTGAAGTCCTTCTCGATACCGAGACTGCGCTGATTTTCCTTTTAACTCGGCTTCCGGATGGAGATGTTTAAGGGCTTTTCAATGTGGAAAACGCTGATGTGGCTAAATCCCGTCGACAAGTCTCATTCTGTCACCAAGGGAAATCCCCACCCACGATAACCTCCGCTATGAAAAAAGCTTTATCGTTTTAAAACCGTGTATTTATCTTCTTTTTCCATTTCGCTTTCAATTATTAGTTGACACGTTTAATCACGCTTTTGTTGAACGTGAAATTGCGTCCGCGCTTTTCAAGCTGATACCGATAGTGCGGAAGTCGCCGTAGGTTAGTAAGTTGGGATTTTAGGCCTGTTATTAGAAAAAACGTTACTGGAATTAAAGATTTTGCAGATCTTTCTAGTCATTTTTAAGAAACAAAATGCAAGCTTTATTTTTCACAATCGTAGCCTTACACTCTTATAGGACCTTCTTTTTCCCTTAGGTTTTGAAACATACTGAGTGGAAAGGTCGACGACAATTGCACGAACCTGTCCCTACGTCTGAATTCACAGGTGTCTTCGAAGATCTAAGACAGAGCTACAGGTGATAGAAACTGTTAAGAACCAGAATGTTATTCATTTCTGTCAAGTGGCTTTGACAACTCAGGCTTGGTTTCAAACTCAGCTCGTCTATCGTTTTGGTCATCCAAAATCCATGACAACCTTTATGCGTGGGCATCCAGACAATGGCTTTGATCGGAACGTAATTTAAATTTAAACTTCAATTTAAAATACGGTTCCAAATTTTGCTTTTTCACTTTTCCTTTTTTCGTTTTCGCTATTTTCCACAAACCGCCCATCTATTTTTTTCTCTGCTTGACAGTTTGATTTGAAAATCGACTTTTAATCAATAACAATTCTATGGAAAGGAAAGGAAAATAATCAGCGATTGAGCCACTGTTTCTCTAAATTCTTCCTACTTTTCAGTATCAATGGTCACCGCTTTTGTGTAAACCATGACGACCTTTATTTCTTCATTTTTTCTTGTTTGTCTTTTGTTTTTCCTTCCAACCGACAATACTTTACAAACTTCTTAATTTCAACAAAGAACATTTTTCTCTACATAAATGTGAGACCAAACAACTATGCATTCAAAGATTGAATATTCATATTTTAACCACAATGATCTTAAGATAATTGTGAAACTCCGGAGCTGGTGTCTGCCGTGGGGACCGAACACGCTATTACCCTTTACAGGTGCTAAATCGTTCACCACCACACCATGCAGGTCCTTCGTTTCGCCTTTCTCTCAGCAGTGTTGATGACCTATAGTTGCTGTCAGCAATCACCCGTCAACGAAATTGATCAGTGAAGCACAATTCGGCATTGAACCAAGTAAAGATGAAGCTGTGGTATAAATCACAATGTCGTCACTTTTTATTTATTCCCCACTCCTTTAACTGGGTTCAATGCCGAATTGTGCTCTACAGATCAAACCCGTTGGCGGGTGGTCATAGCAACCATAGGCGAAAAACACTGCTGACAAAAAGACGCGACGGAGGACTTACATGGTGTGGTGGCGAACGCGTTAGCTCCGCAAAGGTAGCAGCGCGTTCGGTCCCCACCGCAGACACCAGCTGTCTGGAGTTTTGCAAATATCTCAGCACCATAGTGTTTGTATTTCATATAATACCCAGCCATTGGAAACGAGTGGGAGTAAATAAAAAGTGTCGACATTGTAATTCATGTTTTAATTCTATTAAACTGTAGATTCGCTTTTTCCACTTAACAAACTCGTTTTGCACCGAAAAAATTTCTGAGAATGAAGACTAAAACTCCCACCTTCTTTACTACAACTCTTTTAAGGTACGACTGTTTTTTAACAAGAAAATAAACAAGAGATCGACCTTGGTTGATGTGCAGACGATGTTCCGTCCAGTGTTCTCAGAACGTGTTCAATTTGCCGATTTAATTTCTATCACTGCGAAGACCGGAACAGTACATTGATCGAATTATTTCCTCCACAGCGAGCACTCTTCTCAGCTGTCTTTGTCTTCGATTCTAAATAGATCACTTACCGAAAAATTTATGTTATTAAATGAATACCATATTGATTGGTAGCTTAGTAGGGACTGTCATTTTAAGGAAGAGAACAAAACACGCTTTTCAAAGTCCAGCGGTGAAACCGTAGGAAAATTCCATATTTCTCATAGTTGATTACAGATGTTGCTGTGCGGAATCTCTGCATCTGTTGCTTTTCGTCGACGTCTAGGGATGTTTCTTGGCGCCGTTATTTTGTTTGCTGCAGTTTTGAAGACAAGAGAAGCTGGATGAAGTGCTCCAAAGCACCGCACTAAAATCTTCTTGTGTTGCTTGCTGCTCTATTTACAGAAAGCTAAAAGTAGAGGTAATTTGTTGGAAAAATGGCCACGACCCCGCTCAACAATGTTTTCTGTTTCGTTAATTTCAGTGATCTCTTCTTCCTTGTACTTGCCTCCATTCTGAGATAGACCTCATTGTATTTCCACCTTCCTTCAAGATGAAATGCACGTAAGCTAAAAGCTAAGGCTTTCGGTGTTCAAGTCCTAACGGACGCGCCATGCATTCGACTTCATCAGTCATTGCTAGAAGTGACTGAATGCATATGTGGCTTATACGAGGACTCGTGGTGGTCTATTGCTGAATCGGATCAGTGCTGTATCCTCTCAAACAGGTTTGGTACGAATTTTCCGACTTCGGATTGATGGAAGGCTAAGTGAGACAGGCGTGCGGGATCGAACACATGTATATTGCAGAACACCTCCAATCATTGTGTAAACACGAGTTGGAATGCATTGACTAAGTAAGTAAACCATAGAAACATCTATTACCTTCAAGATTTGAGAAAGTAGTAGTTGCAATTTATCTCTTTCTTTCACGCGACCCGTTTTTCACATCTAGTGTGCAGATCGTAGCACTTTCTGCATTTGATTTCTTTCCTCGGAACTACCATACATGATGGTCTTCGAATCTTTCGGGTGTAGGTTCGATTGGTGCATGAGGATTTTCCCTTAGTCATGATTATCGTTGGATGATTGTTGCTTCAGCTCTCCTTTAAGACCTAGGATGGCGGGCTAGAGCGTTCCCTCTTGGGTTGCAGAAAGTGAGTGAGAGGCTCAGTGGGCGCGGGGCGGGGTCGAATTAACACTCCAGCAATAATGCTCTAAACATCACGAGTATTACAATATTCCTTATTCTCCAGTAATATCGAAATCCACAACTCTTTTATCTGCTAGGAATCTGAAGCATGTTACTTAGAAATTGCAGGATTGACAAGTGTCACGAACTCGATAATACGAAGTCACACAGTAGAATTAGTACATGCCTTTCATCAGGAAAAGAATTGATCCACTAACATCATGACTGGATTTGTTTTAATATTTTTAGCAGGCCCTTCGCATTTGCACTCAGTGTTCTTCTCCGTATTTCTCATTGTTCACTTGCAGCGTTATCGACAAGTCATTGAAACAATGACGATTTCATACGATGAAGAATTCTCGTCGTTAATGCTTCGATGGCGTGGCTCGATATGGAAGGCCGTGCTTAAAGATTTGATAGCCTTTTACGTCGGTTACTACGTTATTCTCGCTGCTCAGGTACATTTCAAACGATTAACGAGTCCAGCATCATTGAACATTACAAGGCAAATATTTTTCGCACAGTAGCAAGCAGGCGAATAGGTGGAGTACCGATTAGAAAACAAAATCGTTTAACGCTTTTAAAGTGGTATGCACTGGATGAAAAGCAGAAGGAGTACTTCACCGGTTGGATTCACTGGTGTGAAATTGGACTGCAGTATATTCCACTTTCATTTCTTCTCGGTTTCTTCGTTTCAGTAATCGTTGCCAGATGGTACGTTGTGTAGAATTGCTTTTATACGCATCTAAGTGGAAATTGGGAAAGAGGGGTGGCTATTCAGGTGGGAGCAATTCAACTGGATCTCATGGCCTGATAAGATGATGATGATGGTCTCTGCATGCCTACCTGGTAGGGAAAATTTGTTAATCCGTCAGGCGATAGCAAGGTGGTCGTCACTTCAGGTAATGATATCGTTCTGTTGTCAAAAAGAGCACAGGAGCATCGTGTGCTTCACTATCACGAAGCACCCGTAGCTTTCTTAGCTCAGGTCTAGGGAGCAAATCACAAAACAATCCTTTGTTGCAACATCTTTCTCAATGCTTCCTCACCCAAATTTCTCGCTGTTTTGTTGCATCGCGAACATTTGAATATAGAATACTAGTGGCTTCCGCCATGTTACAGCTATGACTTACTACAAAATTGCTTAATATACTGGCCCATATCGGAAATAGCTTAGTTCTTCAGAGGTCAAATTTCCCGCACCTTGTAAATTCCACACAGAAGCACATCCTGCTCTAAAAAAAAGCCCCCGATTTTCGCCTCCTTAAAAAATTTACTTCCTTACAACAGCGCTGGTTCATCAATTTATGACATACCACTTTGCTTATAAATGGGTTTGGCAACAGATTTCGTTCCGAATGTGTGCAATGAACAGTATAATTTATTTTCATAACTTCAATTCTAAGCAAAAGGTTCAGGCAGCCGTAGCGTGGTCAGGAGTTTCAGTTCGTACATTGAAACGATTTCCCACCGAGAGACATATGGTGGAGGCAAAGCTGATGACTGAAGAGGAATACGAAATGTACACGAATTGCTACGCTCCGCATGGAAAATGGCAAGTGCTTTTGAAACTAAGGGAGGGTAAGGTGCGCGTTCTTCAACCAACGCCATAACTAAAAAAAGGTAAATCGTGAAGGTATTCTGAAATTAGCGGCTCAAAAGACTGTTATTTTAAAAAACTGAAGTAGCCCAACCATTATTTTACATAACCACTTCTTAATAAAATGAGGTTGAACATGGAAATATCATGAGAAAAGATAATCATCAAAGAAAATACCTGGATGTTTGGATGGTCCGCCCTCACTGGTTGTGTGGGACAGGGCATAATTCCTAATTTTTCGGAGTTTTGCTAGTCTAGCCAATGTGGTTCCTTGGGGTGCCGAGGTCAGTCAGGTCAAAGTCTGCCCATGGTCGTCACCACCGCAGTCGCCGCCCTTGTGGTTCAGAGGGAGCTTTGCCACCTTGCGATTAATCTGATACCAGGACGGTGGTGGATCCTGGCATTGGCTTACAAAGAAAATAGAAAGGCAAATATCTTGTCATTAACCGCTGCAGAAAACTGAACACGGAATGTAGAGAAAGGGGCACTTTTTAAAAGATAAACGAATTGGTGTGGATGTGAAAAAGAAAACACCAAGCTTGACACTAATTTTTCATTGCGAAATCGTTGAACTTCTAGGTTTGTCCCGATTATTTGGATAGTGAATCTCATCAAGAAACAATACGCCGCTAAAAAAATCGACACCATCCAAATGGATATGCTTCTAAGACAGGTCTTTTTCGAGATATATAGGTCATGTGCAACTTGTTTCGAAGGCTTGGACATAACCACAGGTATACAGCTACCGCGACGGCTTCGCTATGTTATTCGTGTACGACTGGGTAAAAATACCACTCGTCTACACCCAGGTTGGTGAATCGCTTGGCAGAAAGGGATTTATTTCAGTCCGATGACATTGTCCTTGATTGTAGGTAGTAGCAATAGCGACCTATGGTTACTTCTTCATTTGCTTGATTGGGCGACAACCGAAATTGGACCAAAAGTCAATGGAAAAGGTAAGGCGCTTTATCTTTCTTCCAACTAAGTAGACAGGTATTCGATAATTTTAGGAGATCACCATATTATTTCCAATCTTTACAACGTTCCAAATGTTGTTCTATCTCGGTTGGCTAAAAGTCGGGCAGTTCCTGATGAATCCATTCGGAGAGGATGACGATGACTTTGGTCTGTTCGCTTTGTAAACAGGGTTTCCGATCGAATCGTAATACTTCAGACGATTTTTAACGAAAAGGAACGTATATCAATGTAAAGGATTTTGTTGGCGCTACTGATATTTTTATTTTTGTCATCTTATCACTTGACCCGGTATCAAATCTAATACACTTTGCAGATTTCTTCAGTTCTTGCATCCGATTCTTTTTCTTGCCTCCAAAATACGCGAAGGGGGTCCGATTTTTCGCGTGTAACTTTGACTATAGCTTTTTTTGAGGGCTTTTTCGTTTTCTTCTAGAATGACTTGGCTGCTGGTCGAGTCTATTCTCCTTGAAGTAGTAGGATAGATGGACTAAAGTGCTCCCACTTTGACTTCAAAAAGTGAATACTTTCCAGACAAGTCTGGTGCCAATTCCCCGACCCCGGCGAGATCAGGGATGGACCCGGGTCGGGTTGGATTAGCGCCCGGGTGAGTTGAGCTGTACGCGTAATAAACGGAATCAATACCATTGCGTTATTCACCACTTCCATTATTACTATAAGAGTGCCTGATTATGGCTCTGTCTCTCCGTAAACTTAAGTTTTACCTGACTTAGAGCCGAGAAAAGTGATACTAAACAGAAACTGTGCTACCGTCGAAGCACGATAGTTCACCACCACTACTAGTATGCGCCGCTTTTTCCAATGCGTTTCAACTGGAACGACACCAGCCATTGGCTTACAGTGGGTGCTCCAAACCTGGAGTTGGTCATTTCGGTGGTCGTCGTCTCGTTAGTGCGGACTACATCCTCGTAGAACATGCTCAAATTTTGCGATCATCGCTAACTTAATGCTTGTATCCCCACTGCTCCGCCCATATCTCCTCACACTTATGAAATGTTGCATAACATACTCGTCCTGAGCACGAACGAGTAATTTGTAAATTCTAGTTAGTATTAAGCTCGACTTCATTTTTCAACCGTACACTCATTCAATATAGTTCCTGAAGAGTAGTCGACACACAAAATGTGAATAAATATAACCGCAGGGATGCTGAGACATGAGCGAATTTCGGAACCCCAGTTGTTGTTCGAATCCCCGATCACCCTTCTAGCGGCTCACGTGCTCTCCATCACACCAAATGATATCCTCATTGTACGTTATTCTCTGGACGACGATGTCTATCTCTTGACGACGTTAAGATAACCACTATCTTTTTTTTTACTGTAGCTTTTCTTTGCATAAAATTTTCTTATTAGACTCGCGTTTTTGTTCATTTAATTTTTGATCATTGTATCTCACCTATGCTTGCCCACTTGACAGAACAGGTTCCAAGTTTTGCACATATCTCAACTTCCCTTTGGTTTTATTTCACATAACTCCCTGCAATAAAAAAAAGAAAATAGTAAATAAAATGTAAAACATTGGATAAATTTATACTCTGTCTTCACTCTCTATAATCATCGATATTGACCCAGCTATCGTCTTGTGCCATTATTGACAAGCTCGTCGAGCTCGATTATTGATCGTCGATTCAACTAGTCAATGCACATTTTGGTCAATAAACAGTGCTACGTAGACAAACAATTTTTGTACAAATTTTCATATGAATTCCATTGATGTTGAGCATTTCAAGAGCTTAATTACGTGCTTGATCGCAATACCTGTATTGCTCACATGATGGCTACGGAGTTAGCTGACCAGTGCCCAGACGTTGGAGCTCCGATGGAAAAACTCATCCCACATACAAGAGCGTCATTCAAGATTCAGGTGAGTTAAAGAAAAATGTATTAGGATTAATAAATTTGTCAGTTTAAAGTGGACACAAAAAAGAGCTTCAGATCAACAATTATGAAACGGAATGTACACATTTCTAAATACCTTGGTCGGCACGAGAATCCCAAGCAGCTAAATGAGCGTTGAAATTTTTTAACTACAATCGAAAAATTCCCAGTCAAACTTCAACTATGGTTATTATCAATTACGGTTAATTTTGAAGAGTTGATCTATAGTAATGCACTTTCTCATACATTCCTTGTGAATCACATACTCGAACAGAGGCATGACTCATCTCCACGAGAAGAGTGGGCACTGTAGTGTTTTCGTTCGTGTCCCTCTTGGCCACTGTCGTTGATTGTGGTGATGTACGAGCATGGTGATGCCTAATAATGATATGACTTATGAGTTGTTTCAAGCGGCGAATGTAACTGCTTGGCGAGAAGCGTAAGCACGCCTGACTACGTTGTAGGTGGTCATCCTTGGTTATATTCACATCTCCTTGGAATCAGCCCCACATTACTTTCCGCGCATCTGTTGTCAGCTCTTATTGCATGACCGATTGGTCGACTCCCCACATTTGAGATGTATTCTACTGGACTTGTTAGGTGGGACACCACTGATCTGAACTGAAAATTCCAGCTAGATGTGTGTGCCGGCTATATCTCAGAAGACGTTGCCCAAGCGCTCTTCAGATGGTGCGTAGAATTTCGAATCTTGTTGAATATCAACAAATACCTCTCTTGCATAAAAAATGCTAAAATAACCTTAAAGTTAGAAAGGTGAGAGCAAATTCTCGAGCCTGCTTGGTTGACCTTTGTACTTTTAATCTTGGTAAGTGGTTTGTTCAGAGCACCGAAGCGACCTATGCTGGCTACCTTCTTCTGTATAACTCCTCCTTCATGTTTTTGTAGGAGTTTTGGTTGGAAACGTCGAATCTATTTACGGCTTGAAAAACGCTACTGAGTATATAAGCCTCAAGAATACCATTCAACCACGGATTAAGCTATCGAACTCTGCTACCAGAGTAGCAACTGATGCTTGATTTCGAAGGCAATTGGAAGTGGCGTTAATGAAACTGTGAAAACCTTGATTAATTTTCAACTATTCTTTGAAGAAATGCTTTGAAACGAATAAAATTCTCGATTCCAATAAGTGCCAAGCATAATAATAAAAGTTGTTCTGTGAAAATCCTTCAGCACTAAAAGCACATTTTCAGGACGTGATTCCTAAATCACATCTGGCTACATTTAAGTTAAGCGAAAAAGAAATGAAGTTGATAAAACCGGAAGACATCGAGGAAACTGAGAAATTGGTTGCTGAAAAAAAGGGCCAACGACAACGACATGGATTTCTGGTTAGAGCCATGGATGAGGCAAAAAGGTTGGTTGATGAAACTCGTAAATGAAGCCGTATGAAGCAAACAATGTTTTCCAGAAATGCAAAGAAAAATGGGGATATCGAAGAGGGAAGCGAAGATGAGACAAGTTCATAAACGCGGCGAATTGCGACTGAAAAAGAAATAAGGAAATAAAAGTTACGGTGACTGTTGGAAGTCAGTTAGCATATAGATATTTCTTTACCAAACACTCTGATGGAGCGGCATAAAATAAATGTGCATAAATCAGAATGTGCACTTTTTGAAGGCTTATCACTACCACTTTATAGGTTGTGGAAAAAGTCAGATGGGAAAACGTTTCATTGAATGTTTTTAAAAACGAGAAAAAATATGGCGAAATGACAAACATCTCCGAAGAAGAACATTTTACTACGATCAATCAAAAAAAAGCTTTGATGGCAAGGTGGAAGATTCCATCAGAGCGCTTTGCAGTCACTCAGCCGTTGAAACTGAGAATGAGTGAACGATTTCTTGAAAGTACGATCGGTCCGGAGAAAGGCGGATGTCGGGAAAGCTATCCTGAAATACCAGTGAAGTAAATTCGATGTTGCTGGTCGTAAGTCACCAACAGAACTCTCTAGAACCAACAATACGCATATTCGCTTCATTTTTTAATTTTATTTGTAGTCGTTTTATCTCACCATCTGCTCTTTATATGGCACGTGTGGCGCAGTGATAGGTGCGCCCCGCGATTCACACATATGAGATCGATCCTAGCGCCCATGGCTCACCAAGCTTTCCATCCCTCCGGGGTCAGCATATTGGTATCAGACTTGTCTGGGAGGTTAGCAGCACTGGCTCGATACATCGGTAGGCCACCGCGAGTCATTGTAAAGACAAGATATGCATTCAATCACCTCCAACGATGTTTAATAAAGTCGAATGTATAGCGCATCTCTCAGGGATTGAAAAACGCCGAGAGCTTTATCCTTTATCCTTTATCTACTCTTCATTGTTTGTATTCAAAAACACAGAAAGCAATTATGTATTTTGTAATCGAACACTGTGAATTTGCATAATCCATTTAATATAACCAATATTTTTCACAAGTCGACTTCCCTTTAACCTGAATATGAATGACCAATGTACTTTCTTTCATTGACCAGCTAGTACAAGGTTGATGAAATAAACTTTAGTTGGCTAACGTTCCGACCTCTTTGTCTTCGTCAGAGCCTATGGTAGATGGATTGCACGGAAAAAAAACAAGTTGCTATCGTTGGACAATTGTATCAACAACAACCGTCCTATATAAAAGAGCACTGCTGAATAAGGTTCTTCATTCGAGCGGTGCTACACTGGATTCGACTTGATGTCACGGAACTAAAAGAAAGAAGAATTGTGAGCAATTGACTCGAAACACTTCAGTTCTGAAGAATTCCAAGACGACGAAGTGTTTGCCGAATAAGGCCTATTATCAACCTTGTGTTAGATTATAGGTGAAAGAAAGAAGGCACTAATGTTTCTTCCACGTCCGACTTTCTATTAACCTCGGCACTGATTGGATAATTCTTTCTACTTCTGTTCAGCAAACACGAGGTGTTACTTTATTTCCTTATTTACGTACAAGCTGACGTTTCGGCGGACTAATGTTTCTGTTTGAAAAGCATCAGTATATGACTGCTCAAAATTTCAAGGATATGGTGACGTTTGTTCGGACTCATCTCAAATGTAGAGCTCATGAAGTGGTTCCGAAGCGTGAAAATCAGAGCTAAGGCCTGTAAAAGACATACAACTTCCTTGTTAAACAATCGCTGGCGTCACATGCGCCCTCATTGAGATTGAGCGAGTGCCGCACTTGGTACAACTCGTCCACCACCCAGCCAAATGCTGTCATCATTTGAAATTCTGTTTCACAGCTTATGTTCAGTTCATCTCAGTATTTTTCGTTATCATCCATTCCATGCGATAGCAGAGGTGATTGGAAATTGAAAGCAGTTGAAAATGAGATGGTAGAAAATTCTCAGTAGAAATCAGAAGTTGAACATCCGATTTTCCTCTACCTTTATAGGGCTATACGAAATGTTTATCCTTTTGGAAAAAATTTGGATGGTTTCTGATGAAACTAATAAATAGAACTGATATATATTTTGCCTATCAACTAGGGTCATCGGTTCTAAAGAAGACTTCGAAACGTTGGCCGAAAAACGTTTTTATCAACCTAGTGTTGGCTTAACAATCCAAGAAGGTACAGATATTTGCTCACTTAAAAAGAAGAAAGTATTACTCTTGGGAACCTGTAAATAGGTACCACTTCTTAGCGTCTCCTATAGAAAAGCCTAAGTCGTTGATGTATGACTCTAAAGGAAAATTTTAAAAGATCAACCTAAGAAATATACAATAGAACAGATTTCTTGTGAGATTCTTGTCTTTGTATCCGTTCGCCGTCGTTCTCTTGCGCAAACCCGCTTTCTCTCTGTCTCAGTCACCGCAGTGTAGAAGTGATTGGTGTTACAAAGCAGTCTCTCATAATCTTAGAGCTATTTACTTTTCCTCAGGTGCGCGTGTGGCGCAGTGGTCGAAGACGCCCTGCAACACACACGTGGAATCGATCCCCACGCACATGGTTCACCTAGCCTTCCATCACTCCGGGGTCGGCAAATTGGTACCATACGTGTCTTGGATGATAGCAGCACTGACTTAATACATCGTTTGGCCACCGCGAGTCATTGTAAAGGCCAGATATGCATTCAGTCATCTCCAACGATGCTTAATGAAGCTGAATGCATGGGGAATCCCTCATGGATTGAGCAACGCCGAGAGCTTTATCCTTTATTTTATTATTTACTTTTTCTTACACTGCACCACGACTTCGGACCTACCAATTTTAGACGATTACACGGATAGAAAATTGATTATTATAGGCTTAAACCACATCAGCTAATAAGAAAACTAAGTGTCAGTTCAAGCCTCGTTCCAAGTGTCAAGGAAGAAGCTGGAAATGAGGAGGACAGTGTAGAATCTCCTGTTCTCACCGCCAAAGGATCTGAAGCAAATGACTTGGAGGATGAGAATGAAAGCGATGATTACGATAATGATGATGAGATTGGCGTTGAATGGGAGGACACTGTTGTACCTCAGGACTGCTAGGCCTTCGATGTTAACCATGCTGAGTAGATAACCAGTATCTTACTGGAATGCACAAAACCAAAACATTTCTATGGCCTAAATTTTTAATCTCATTGTGAAAGAGTTGAATAGATACGATGAAGGATTGAATTGATGTGTGAATTGAAGGAACAAACAACTCTTGAAAATAGATTGTCATGGTTGAAGGATTCTTTAGCTTGAAGTTCTATTTTGGCATGCCATTCCATTGCAACTCGACTTGTTATAGGAGAAGGAAATGAAAATGTGCCGGGTTATCTTCGTTCAGGCAACAATGCAAGAAATGATGGAGAACACAGTTAGCACAAAACAAGGTAAATAATTGAGATTGTAATTAGCAACTGCACAAGGATATTCAGGTCGTGAAAAAACGTTCGTGCTGATAAATTTTTTATTCGATTTCTTGATGGAGTCCAATTATTCACATCATGCGACGGATAGAGATAGGATAACTGTGGTTTATCCAGAGACCACTCCAGAAAAGAAGATGGAGTTAAGTGGACTCCGCCCTGGCACTATGTCGCGAATTTAAGTGCACTGGATGATGAACTAAATGCTAGGCAAAAAAGCGTTTACAAAGAGAATTTTAGCTCTACACGGAAGGGATTCGGGGTTCCTTTAATAAAGAAGCGCCAAGTGCAGCCTGTCTGAAAGAGCACGCTATCCATGAGCTCAATGTGGCGTCTAGGACAAAGACAAGTGTCTGATCGTGAACACTCGTTCGCAGAAACAATGAAAAACCGGTACTATGGGGTGATCATCCATGAGGAGAGAATATAACGACATTGGTAAAGATTACCACGAAAAGACTACTAATTAACGTTGGAAATACGCCTGCATAGTTTCGGAAAAATGCAGTTACGAATCATGTTCAACTTGCACGTACTCTACTTTCAGAAGCTTCCATTAAAGATCGAACAAACGAAGGGCGAATATGATGTGATTGAAGTGAACCAGACGAGACGGCGCCGTGTTCATCCAATGTTTATGGTACTAGAAGAAGACTGGTACATGGAAGACGCGACATTAGAAGAGATAGCAGCACTGTTACCGTGCCAATCACTTGTATCACCTTTAGTCCCGTTGAACGTCGAGTGACTCGAGTGGACGCCAGTTAATCTTCCATTTTCCCCTGCGTCGTGCAAGAGTAGACCAGTGGGTTTTGCTCGCTCTAGGGACTCGTCGAGCATCATATCTTTCTTCTAGGCTCTTCGTGAAGAACTCTGACCATCGGGTCGGTGGTCTTCCTGCAGCGCGTTTGACATCCCGAGGAATCCAGTCATTAACGGCTTTTGTCCATCGGTTATCACTCATACGCATTACCTGTCCGGCGCACCTTATCTTCGACTGCTTGGCGTAGAGAACGGCATCTTTGACTTCTGATCGTTGACGCAGATCGGAGCTTCAGATCCCATCCCTTACTTGTGTGGAACGGGATAATCCTAGCATCGTCCTTTCGACTGCGCGTTCGATAACGCTGAGTGAGCTTTCATCCTGCTTACGCAGCAACCAGGTTTCTGGTGCATACGTTAGGGCAGAAAGCACCGTTGAGTCGAAAAGGTGGGCACGGAGTCGGGTGTTCTTTGTTCTCTTCACATCCTCGATACTCTTGAAAGCTCCTCAAGCCGCTCGCTTTCTTCTGCTCAGCTCTGGAGCTAGGTCGTTCATCATATTGATTTCGCGACCTAGATAGCTATAACTGGAGCATTCGGAGATATTCGTTCCGTTGAGCGCGAATGGGGGATGCGAAACCAATCTATTTTTCATGAACATCGTTTTTGTGAAAATTAGTCGAAGATCAATCTTTCCATAGGCTTTATCAAAGTTGTCAAGCATGCGTTCGGTTTGGTTAATGTTTGGTGTTATAAGGACGATTTCATCAGCAAAGCGAAGATGATGTAGCCACCGGCCATCGATTTTCACTCCCATATTATCCCATTCCAATGTTCGCATGACGTTCTGGAGGGTGCCAGTAAATAATTTTGTCGAGATGGTATCGCCTTTCCTAACTCCTTTTTTGACGTCAATGTTAGTATCGTTGTAGAATGGTGATACCTTGCTTGTGAAATTTTTGTACAGATCACGAAGAATCTTTATGTACTGAGTAAGGACTCCTTGACTATCAAGGGCTTCCGTGACCGCTTCTATCTCAACTAAATCAAAAGCCCTCTCTAAATCGACGAAAGTGAGACAGAGCGGTCTTTGTACTCTAGCGATACTTCAGTGACTCTTGTTATCGTGTTGATGTAGTCCATCGTACTAAATCTTTTCCGAAACCCTGCTTGCTCACATTGCTGTCCTTTGTCCAGTGTTCTGCCAATCCTCTTTAGGATGGCTCGTGTGAAAAGTTTGTAGACGACAGACAAGGCGATAGTTGTCGATATCGTGCAGTTCACCCTTCTTGAACAATAACATGGTCTTGCTGGTCTTCCACTGAGTAGGGACCGTAGATTCAGAAAGGTAACGTGTGAAGAGCCGAGCCAATGTGTTTACGAGGACTGGTGGAAAGTTATTCGGCTGTTCTGGTCTTATCCCGTCCGGACTTGGTGCTGTTCGATTTATTCGCCGACGAAATGGCATGTCGAATTTCGGGGGGCAGGACCGGTGGAACAACATATCCATCCTCCTTTATTTCATATGACCGAAAGTGGACGTGGCTATCGAAGGGATCCGAGTAGTATTCGTGAATGAATTTCTCCATTGCCTTTCTGGACGCTGTAAGTGTACCGTCTGGGCGCCGGAGTGCAATCATTTTGGTCTTGTAATTGGCGAAGCTTCGATAGACCTTGCGAATGCTTTTTCCAGCCTCTGCAACTTCGACCATTACTGCTGCTCTTCTCTCTTTAAGATCTTTTTTTATCGCCTGTCTTTATTGTTTTGCAAGTTCGGAAATTAGTTCACGGTTGCCTGCAGCTCGCGCGATTCCACGCTGCCGTATCAGCTCGAGTGTTTTGGGGTGACAGACGTCTCTTGGTGACTTTCGAACTGTCAGCTTTCATAGCGCTAACGTGAAGATGTTGAATGAGCCGATCATATTCTTCGCCGATGTTTTCGACAACGGCACCTTCCCAACAGCCGACTAATCAATTGGATAAGTCCCAGTTTATGGTGGTTCGGGGACTTTGGTTTTTGAATTTAGCGGCTTTTTCTCCTTTCTGCGAAAACTGGAATCTTGCACGAAAGAGGCGATGGTTTGATCGTGTGTAGAATTTTGGGACAACAGCGACATCGGTTAGGCAAAACCTTCTATTTACTATGATGTGGTCTATTTCGGTATGGTACTCTCCATTGGAAGACTACCACATCCAGCGTTGAGGGTGGGCCTTCTGGAATTGCGAGTTACCATGGACGGTTTTGGTCGCCATGACAAACTCAGGAAGCCGCTCACCCTGTTCGTTCCATTATAATCCGTTGTTCCCAATGTGACGTTCTTCAGACGTTCATCTTGGTCCAATCTTAGCGTTGAAATATCCAATGATGACCTTGAATAATGTATGGTCTTCTCTGTGGAATTTCTCCAAATCCATATAGAACGTTTCAACTTCTTGTTCGTCATAGTTTGATGTCGGCGCGTAAACAACGAAAATTGTCAAAGCCGGTATTGATCCACATCTTTTAAATCCTAGACATCAGATTCGGGTTGTTAGTTGTTGGAATGAATAGATATTCATGGATAAACTGGTGTTGACGAGAACGTCGACGCCGTCGACTCCGTTACTGTAGCATGTTCCGAGGAACAGGTCTTCTCCGGTGTTATAGACGGCGATGAAGGCGTGGTGTCTTCTCGTTTCGGCCAGGCCTATGACGTCGTACCTCATCCTTCTTGCCTGCATGAGCACGTCTTCTATCGAGGACTCGGTTGCAAGCGTACGTGCATTGTAGGTAGAGATCGTCACCTTAATTATTCGTGATCCAGGCAGCCTCCATTGGCCCTGAGATTTTTGCTGCCTCTCCATACTCGTCCTACCAAGCACTGCGAAATTGGGGCTCTTTCAGGGTCACGGGTATGAGGCGCCTTTCTTTTACCGTTTTCAGCTTTTTGGTACACACGTACAGCTTGCTGGACTCTGAATGTGGTGGCTGGGTATACTCATGGGTAGCCTGCGAAGCTCTCCCAGAGTGGACATGGAGCTTATTTCTTGGAGGCTACTCCTAACGGTCTACGATTTACTTCACTGTCACTTGATTGCAGACTTTTGTCCAAATTGACTCGTAGAATACAATCCGCATAAGCAGGAACGCGCATACACACGCGCATGTATGAATACGTTTAGCAAATAGAGAAAGTATGTGCCAAATCAGCGCAGCAGAAACAGGGAGTCCGTCTCCAGGATCCACCTGCGCCTCAGGGAAGCAAAGGTCGCTTTTGGTCAGCGATGAACCCCCTATTCGCCACCGAGGGACGCACCACGTAGCCTCGCGACTAACTGGTTATCGGGATCTCTCATATGAAGGAGTTCTGTAGATCGTGCCAGTATAAGTTCGGAAATGAATACAGATCTTTTGCAACAGCGAACGGCTTCGGTATGTCAATTATAGTTGAAAGAATATCAACTAAAGTAGACTTTACACCCTTCATCGATGTCGCCTAAATATCAAACTAAGCAGGATACGAGTAGCGTAGTGTGGTTAGAGGTGCACACTCGTGATCTTTGATAACGCGCCACGAAACCTTCCATTCACCCGAGGTCAGAAAACATTGGTACCAGTCCTGCCTAGGAGCAGCACTGACTTGATACATCGGTAGGCCATCGTGAATCATTTTACAGACCATATATGCATTCAATCACTTCTAAAGGTACTTGATATTTAATGAAGTCGAAAGCATGGGGTATCCTCAGGGATTGATTAACGATGAGAGTTTTATCCTTTATCATTTTACCAAACTAAGAAAAATATGAATTGAATGTGGGAATGGCGATGAATAGATCTTACAGCGACTAAGCAAGCTCTATTTTTTTAAATGAACAGTACGGTTTAGA